ATATTAATACAGCTAACATATAAAATTCAAAATAACGAGTTAATTATTCTCTAACTGCGAGTTTTTAATAAATATAAGACCAGGATTATTGTAATTTCTTGATTAACTTACAATTACGAGTACTGTATAGATAAAAATTAATAATTGAAAATAATTATGTTTTCAAAATTTTCCGTCCGGTTTGCAATATGCCGTACGCGGACAGCCCTAACCACATGCCTATCAGTCCACCCATATTTGCGATGAACGATATGAACGACATTTCCGGCGAGTGCTCCACCATCTGGTCTGGGAGTGGGCTATGCCTTAGATGAATGCCTATCACCTTATCCCACGGTTTCACTTTCGGGACCTTAACCTTATCATCAATGAACACATCGTAATAACTGGTACGACAGTCCTGTCGACATACCACATCGCACTTTTCAGCGGCTACCTGTCCACACTGTAAGCGCCGATTAAAGGGACACATATAAGAACCCTTTGCAAAATGGTGCTGGATAAAATTGGTCGACCATAGGGTACAGTTGAGACACGTCTGTGACTTTCCGTGTTTATCATTGCAACAGTCATTGCGGCCTAGTATGTGATTTTCAAAACACTTGTACCGGCAATCTGATCTAGTTCGTTCCCGGCCCTGTATGTTATCAAGGTCGTACTCTTGACAATTGTTTTCGTATGGAGGCTTTAAACGTATAGTTTTCAGTGTTGAGAATTTTAACTAATGACAAAATACCGTATTTTAAATTAAATTATTTTATGAATTGTTATGATTTATATTTATTTAATTTTTTAATATATGTACCTGGTAAAAGTGATCCATTTTCAAAGCTAGGAAGTTTTCCGAGTCAAGGTCAAAGGGAGTAGTGTTTGCCGAGTGTATGGAAAAGAGTACCTTGGTCTCATCAAACGTGGTATCATACACATTAGCCGGGTACCAATATCTATTATGCATGAACGACACATACAATCTGGTCGACATGAACTTAACATTGCGCCATTTTGGATTGAGCTCGCTGAAAAACGTGAAGCACTTGCGTATATTATAGTTCATTTGAATCACCACCGATGCTATTGGTTCATGGTCAACGTAGATATTGGAATCGTTATAACCAAGTAATGTCGATGATACAACAATAAGATGATCGTGGTCACTATTGTTTCTTGGTCCATCTTGTCTACCTTTCCACAAGTCGTATATTAAGCTGACGTTTGTATCAAACAAATGGTCCAAGGGCAAATTTTGAGCTTTGTAGAAATCGGTAAAATTTTCGTACATATCACTTAAATAGGATTTTAATGTATCGTTATTATAGTCAGCATCAGTTATATTTTCCATTATTTTTAGGTAATCCTCGTACTGTTCCCTTAATTGTGGGAAATGATGAGCCATACCGTCCATTCGTAGTCCATGGGGAAGGCATATAGTTATGGCGGGCATAGTGTCCGGTCGTATGCGCTCCAGTCGTATATTCACTACAGTTTTGCCGCTAAAATACTGCGAGAATAGTAGTATTGAATGGTATGTAAGCGCCGATAGACAACACAGAAATAGTATAGTTTTAAAAAGTAATAGGTGCTTTTTGGCGATAGTACGCTGGGTCACTTGTCGACGCCAATGATATATTACGGACTTTTTAGTGTTATTTTCGGTGTCAGCAAAATCCATCATTTTCTCAACAAGGTTTAAAATACTAAAATATAAAAGCACATTTTATATTTGAATACACATTTTAGGTAAATGTCTTTAATCAAGAATTAACATTTATAAACATATGAGCCAGTCAAAGCCAGACTATGATAAGTCCAAATACAAATACATTACTATGAATTACAATGAACTTTAGATAATTCAGTGGTCAATATGATTAATACATGGTATAAAATATAAGTTTAATATAGATTTCAGTTAAACAAAACTTATTTGAATTAAATTATCAAATTAAATTAAAAATACTTGAATTTAAAAATTATTAACTTTAAATTAATAAAATATAATATTGACCAATGTGTTACCTAAAGTTCATTGTAATTAATAGTACGGTGTCAGCAAAATCCATCATTTTCTCAACAAGGTTTAAAATACTAAAATATAAAGGCACATTTTATATTTGAATACACATTTTAGGTAAATGTCTTTAATCAAGAATTAACATTTATAAACATATAGAAATGATATTTGTAAACATTTTATTATGTTTAATTTATATGCAAAGAAATTTTTATGTATTATTATTATTATTAATATGTTGTTGTAATTGTTTAGTAAATTGTTATATACTATATTAAAGCTAAATATAAATGAAACTGATATCAAAATACTTTTAAAACTGCTTGTGTTTGCAATGACATTGAAATTTTTGATGGATTTGCAAAGTGTTTTAATGATTATAATTATAGCACTGTTTTACATATAAATTGATTACTTATTAATTTATACAGTATTACTATACGTAGAATTAAGTACTTATTTACTCACAAGTTAGTATTAATATCTAAATAATTAATAGAAATATACAGTATAAAAACCTATTGTATAAAAAATCTATATAATATTTTCATTATTATATTTATAAACTATTATTCATAGAATGCTGTAATAATTATATGGCATAAACATTTGCAAAACACAGCAATTAATATTGTTAAACTTTAAAAATTATTATTAGAATGGAGTTTAAAATTATTAAATTTAGATAAAGTCACATAAAACTAAGCAATAAACTTAAATTTAATATTATTACAGATTTCATTATTTTGGGGGAAATGTTCTTATATGAAATAATAAAAAATAACTTACTTGTTGATTTTATGTAAGATTATTTAATATAATGATAATATCCAGAATAAATCAAAATCAATTAAATTTTTTATATTTTATCATTTATTATAATCAATAAGCCAACATTATTAATAATTATTATTAACCTATATTAATGTATTCATAATGTTATTTTAATAATTTAATAATTTTTTATCACTGTATATTAAAAAATAAATATTTTTTTTTGCATAAATCTCTATAAAAAACATAATTTATTTTTGAATATCTAATTTTTATAACATACGTAAAACAAGTCTATAATCATACTAAAAATAATTAATATATTTTTAAATTTTTAGATTAACTTATATAATAATAGGAAATATTTTAAAACTAAACATCATATAATTTCACAAAATAACTAAACACTAGACTTAGATATCTATGACATAAACTCGTTGAAAGCATTCATTAAAACACTCATAAAACAAATGGTCATTTATTGTCCATTAAGCCAACGCCTAAAATAATTAACTATAATTTTTTATATAAACTTTCAACACCAATATGTTTAAAACAAGATTAATTATATAATGAATGATATAACATTTTTATGATCACTTATAGAAAATTATAAAAATATAATGAATAAAAATATCTATAATAATAATTATAAATATAAATACAGTATATTGGATAATTAATGTACTGTACGTGTTATTAATACTAGTGTTTGATGTATAAGAAATATAAGTTTTTATTTACAGTATAGTGTGGCAATGATAATTAACAAGCATAATTTGAGTTTTCATAAATACTTTTGTATTAATAATTATACATAATACAATAATTTATAATAGCTTTAGCCCGGTTTGCAAAATGGCGTACGCGGACAGCCCTAACTACATACCTATCAGTCCCCATATTGGCGATGAACGATATGAACGACAAAAACTTAACACTAAAAACTTGAAAAAACGACTATTTTTGTACACAACTATATAATTTTATAAAATATAACCTGTGCCAAATAAAAATTGCTATTTGTTATCATCAAATAAATCCCTACAGCAGGCCCGTCCAGAATTTTTAAAATCCTCAAAATAGTGTTTTATAATATTAGTAAACTAATTAACTATTCACAACACTAATATTTAATGAATTAAAAGTGACTATGATATTTTGTTGGAGACATAATTTTCATTTTGATTAATAGTATAAATATTTATTAGACATCAAAATATTAGTGTTGTATATACTCAGCTTAAATAGTAACATATAGTAAATGCATACATCACTAGTTGGTTTCTGGAAACCATATCTGTGCGCCAATGCCCTACAGAATATAAAATAATTACAAGCAAAATAAAATACAATTATAACTATGAAATCAATAACATGCTAAGTTTGCACTGTTAGTAACGCCTCATTTATTTGAAATATTATATTGTATTTACAAGGTGAATTTAAATATAATTTATTGTATAATTTCACGGTACAAATAATAATAATAATATGTTTATAACAACTTCATAACCGTTTCCAATATAATAAACGCCGACAGCCCTAACCACATGCCTATCAGTCCCCCCATATTGGCGATGAACGATATGAACGACATTTCCGGCGAGTGCTCCACCGTCTGATCCAGCAATGGATTATGAGCAAGCTCAATGTACAATACTTTATCCCACGGATCTCTACCCTGGATCCTATTCTTATCCTTGATATCCACGTTATAATAGCACGTATGGCAGCTCTTTTGGCACAACTCCTCGCACATGTCGTCGGCTACCAGTGCGCAGTCATCCCGCAAACCATAGGGACACATATGGGACCTCTGAGCGAAATGGTGCTGGATGAAATTGGTGGACCATAGGGTGCATTTACGACAGGTCTGACGGTTTTTATTGGTATCGATACAACAGTCCTTACGACCCACCAGTTCCATCTCAAAACACTTGTACCGGCAATCGGATCGGGTACGTTCCCTCTCAAAAATGTTATCAGGGTCGTAGTCGTGACAATTTGTTTCGTATGGAGGTTTTAGGCGTATGGTCTTTATGGTTGAGAAAGCTACCTAATAAAGTGTTAAGATAACATTTTTAATTCATAAATTAATTTATTTGTCTTAGGTAGGTTGAGTTTTAAAAAAAATAAATTATGATAAATGATTATATTTAATAATGTAACATTAAATAAGCTATGCTATGTATATTAGTTAGGCAACTTTAATATTGAAAAATGATAAGTTATTGTAACTTGTGCAATTTTTAAAATTTTAAAATTTACGGCTCTTCCTTACTATATCCCAAAAATTAGTATAAAGGTTAATATATTTAAGACTAACATGTTTAAATAATTTTTGTACAGTTTGTCAAATGAGAAATTATATACAATTCATGATTATAAATAAGTTAATAAAGTATTGCCTAATATACTATATTTATTCATATTATGATACATGCTTAACACCATGTTAACCTACCTGGTAAGTATGGTCCATTTTGAGATTAATAAAATTTTCGGACCTAAGGTCGTAAGGCGTGGCATTAGCCGAGTGTATGGAAAAGTGTATCTTATTTTTGCCTGATGGTGTCTCATACATATTAGGCGGGAACCAATACTTATTATGCCTAAAAATCAATGTCACCTCGTTCAAATTAAACTTAATATTACGCCACGCGGGATTGAGCTCGCTAAAAAACGTGAAACACTTGCGAATGTGACTAGGTCGCTCGGCCACCACCGACACCACCGGGTGCATATCCACGTGCTGCATCACCATGTTATTTCTCACCCCGATCAATTCGAGCTTAATTAAGAAATCGTCCACTTTATCACCAGGGGTAACCAATTTTTCCGAGTCTTTCCAGAGGTCGTAGGGTATGCTAACGTCGGAGTCAAACATGTAGTCTAATGACATGTTTTGCTTATCGTAAAAACGGGTAAAGTTTTTGAATATATCTATCAAATAATCCTTTAGTGTCTCGTTTTTATAGTCGTAATCATTAATACTATCCATTAGTCTCTTGTATTCGCTATACTTTGCCTTAAGGGGTGGGAACCGACGGGCCATACCATCCATACGTAGCCCATAGGGCAGGCATAGGGTTATGGCGGGCATAGTGTCCGGCCGTATGCGGTCCAGTCGTATACTGACTACTGTTTTGCCGCTGAAGTACTGCGAGAATAGTAGGATTGCGTGATATGTGAGGGCCGATAGACAGCACACAAATAAAATGATCTTGATAAATAGTCGACGTTTTTTGCGAATAGTGAGCGAGTTCCATTTTCGGCGTATTTGATAGCGTATGGAGTTTTCATTAACAGCCGGCAACTGTTTACCCTGTTCATCAAATTCCATCATTTTTCAAAATATTTTAATTAATCACCTTGCTAGTTTGTCATTTCTAATGAAAATATAAAATAAGTATTTTATAAACTTGTTTAAATCTTATATCTTTGTCAAATTTTAAAAAATACAATTAAGAAAATTTAAATATTTTAATAAATATTTTTTTATGATCCAATAAATAATATAATGATTTTAATTCTTATTATACACGTAGTTGTGGTTAGTATAGGAAATGTTATTTTTTAATTTCAAAACTGTAATATTTTTTAATAGTAATCCTTATACTAATATAATTACTTTAAAATATTTTTGTGGCAATAGATAGGTATATGCTTTAATTTAATATATTACACATAATTTTAGATTAACATTGTAATACATATTTTGCAAATTTTCCTAACTACTCTACTACTTTACCATTACTAATAAAAATATAGTTATGTGTATTTTTTAAACTTATTCAACAATAGATTCTTAAAATAATCCAATGAATTATAAAATAAATTTAATTTGTAATTATATTTTTAATACTTTAAATTTTCAAACTGTTATATTTTTTAATAAGGTAATTTATACTAACAAAATACGTTCAAGATTTTCTGATAACCTAAAGCAATAAATTTTATATATTGTACATAATTTTAGATTAATAAAATTAATAATTGTATTATTTAATAAAATTACATTGGGTAATTACTATTATTTTGGTAACTTTTGTCAAAATTTCTAGAATTATTTTGTTATGTTATTTAAAGTAAAATAAATATTAAATTAGTTTACTAAACTGTACTAAAATAATTTAATAAAAATAATTTAATAAAACTGTTAAAACCAAACAGTCTGGTTGAAACTGAACTCATACCATGTTTAATTCAGTAATGCAGTACAAATAATTTTTTATATAAATCTCAAATGGTTTCATGTAAATATTTATTCAAACCTATAAAGATCAAATTATAATAATATAAATTAAGAATATTAATATTTATCTTTTGAAATTACAAAGAAAATAGTTGATAACCTTAAAGTACTTAATGTATTAAATTATATATATAATTAAAGTAAATTAAATTATAACTATATTATTTACTATTATCTTGGATAGAAAGGTAAAAATAAAATATTTTTAAAAACTTACAAAATTTTGAAGAATACTTTATATTTAAAACAAATTTTAAATTAAAAAGATTTTAAATTTATAATTTTCTTAAAATTCAAATTCACATTAAGCGCACAATTATTTAATGAAAAAGTACAACATTTTCAATAGAAATACTTGAATAGTGAACACAAACCGCTATTTCTATGCAAATGCTATTTCTGTGCCGTAAACCGATGTATGCATTGAAACCAACGGCACAAACAAACGCGAAAAAAGTTTTGTCTGTTTTTTGTGTTTTTCAATGGCATTGAAATATTTGATGGATTTTCTGGAAAACTAAGAGTAATATTATTTTTAGTGCTATTTTGCATCTCAAGTGATTAATTTGTGTGCATTTAATGAGAATTGTATTATGTATAGGCAACATACTGTACATGTGTTATTATTGCACAGTTAATAAATATTTTTACATTAAATTATTTATTTAAAAATACGTAGATATTAAGATATACTAATAGGATTAATATGTATAACACGTTTTAGCAATAATCCACAATATATTCAAATGTGTGACTATTTGATTAAAAATAATTATGTCGTAATTATCATTTTGATTAAAATATTCATTTATTATTTGCATATGATTGCAAAATTCAAATATTTTTATAGGTTTATTCGTAAGACTTAATCAAATATTAATTAATTTGTTATGGTATCAAACAATGGATAGTAAATTATTTATAAAAATCAACAAAACTTTCCGATAAAATGTTTGATTAATTAAAGCGTTAAGAGAGAGAGAGAGAGAGA